ACTTTTTTTTTTTTTTTTTTTTTTTTTTTTTGAGTTATTTTGTTGAGCTGGGCAGTGGCGGTACATGTTTTTAATTCCAGGCAGAGGAAGGCTCTGTGAGTTCAAGGCTATCCTGGTCTACTGAGGGAGTTCCAGGACAGCTTAGGCTGTTACACAGAGAAACTCTATCTCAAAACAAAACAAAAGCTATTTTCTTTTTAATTTTATGTTTGTTTGTATGTATGTATATATATATATATATGTGTGTGTGCGTTGTGGGGGTGTGCATGTGTGGATATGTGCACATGTGTGCAGGTGCCCACTGAAGCCAGAAGGGGAAGTTGAACTGCCTGGTGCCAGAGGCAGCAATGTAGATGCTGGGAACTAAATTTGGGTCCTCCATAAGAGGAGCAAATGGTCTTAACCACTAAACCATCATCACTTCAGTCCCAAAAGTTCTACTGGACTAATGTACCTGACATAAGAGCAATAACAGGAAACTAGACCCTTTGTGCCCTTAAGGCAAAGAGTCCCTGTGGAGGGTGTTTGGGGACAGGTAGTGAATTCCTAAGGCCCTGAGCAGATAAGGAGTTTCTCATTCTTGGCAAACTCTGGTCACTGGTTTGTATAAACCTTGGTTGTTGAGCATAGGGAATGACTTCCACGCCGGCAGGAACCTGGTCTATATTCACCTCTCCCACTTACTTCCTCACTGAGTGACCAGAAGTGACTTGCATCTGGAAAGCTTCAGCCCTACCTTTTACCTTCAAGTTCTGATAGTACATGCCAGGTCAGTGCTTATGCCAGTGGAACCAGGGAATACCTAATCCTGTTATTACTCAACATTGTTATTGACTGTCTGTCCCAGGGAATGGGAGGGGGGCTGGTTTGGTGGTGTCACCTCTTGGCAGTGAGAGCCTGCTCCTCCAGCTTTCCCAGGACTTGCCCAGATGTCAAGGTCAAGGGAACATTCCGGATACTGGAGCCATGGATTCCAACCCCTAGTCTTGCATTCAGGACGTTCCAGCGTCCCCCGTGGCTGAACACTGGTCCCCTCCATCTTCACAGGCTCTGCAGCCTTCGCAACCTACCTCAAAGGTCACCTACCTCTCCAGTAGTTTTTCCTGTCCTGTTAAACTAAAATACCACACAGGCTCGCTCCCCCCCTGCCATTACTCATTGTGAGGCTTCATCCTGTGCATCATTTGTTTGCTTTCTCCCTGGGAACTGAGTGATAGGAAAGCTGGCTGAGATTTTGTCTTTTCACAGCTGTAATTCATACTGCCTTGTAATACAATCAGAAAATTGTCAAATGAAGAAATTAATTCTGATTTTACCTGGAAAGCACTCAGTGTTGTGCTGTGTATCCGAAATAACAATGGCATAGTAAATGGCACCAACAGCGTTTCCCCCTCCTCCCTCTCTGTAAGGATTGCTGGAGGTGGGACTTTGGGTTCCGTAACAAAAACAAAAGACTTCACAAAGGGATGCTAATGGACTCTGGGGCAGAGAGGCTCTTGTTTGAAATAACAATGAAGTTAATGACAGGGGACTTTTATCAAGTGCTCTCTTTGGTGGAGGTGCTGAGGTAAATCCTGTGGCTTAGTCCCATTAAATCCTTGTGACTAACCAATGAAACTCCCATTATTCTAGGAGGAAACTGAGGCTCATGTAGATAGCTGGTAGGTGTAGCTATTTTTTTCTTTTTTGTTTTGTTTTTTGTTTTTTCCAGACAGGGTTTCTCTGTGTAGCTTTGGAGCCTATCCTGGCACTCGCTCTGGAGACCAGGCTGGCCTCGAACTCACAGCGATCCGCCTGCCTCTGCCTCCCGAGTGCTGGGATTAAAGGCGTGCACCCCAACGCCCAGCTGGGTGTAGCTATTAATTTTTGTTTTATTTATTATTTGTGCTAAGCCTTGAACTCAGGGCCTTGTGCAGACTAGGCATGGCTACTTGGGCTGTGCTTTTGGCTCCCTCTATGGCTGCACTCTACAGAGAAGCTATGGTCCCAGCCTCTAAACCTCCTATCTTTAATTGTACTCTACATTATAATTATTTGTTTTGCTGGGAAGAGCTGATGGGTCTAGAACATCTCTGAGGACCCAGGGGCATTGTTTCCTCCCCGTGCTGGCTCTTGGCTCAGACAATTCCAAAGCAGTTCCCTGTCCCTTCTGGGAACATCTAGAGGCCCTTATTTCTCTGCCTGTGCTGCTGATGTATCCTTTTTCGCCTCTTCATTTTAATTTTTCATCTTAGAATTTTAATATTTGCATATTCCACATACACCCCAGTGGTTTTGTTTGTTTTGAGGCAACATCTCACTGTGTAGCCCAGTCTGGCCTCAAACTCCTGATCCTCTTGCCTCAGCTGCCTCCCCAGTGCTGGCAGGTGTTTGGCCTGGCCCCACTGTGCTTTTTCTGTCTGTCCTTAGGTCCTCCGGAGTGAGGGAGGCCCAGTCACTGGAGTCAGCAGCTCTTATCTCCCAGACAGAGCTGTTGGGCATTTTCTCAAGTGAGGGAGGAGGGGAGTTGTAAAGGGAGTACTTGGGATTATGGTGTTTCTGCATGAACTCAGACCAGCCCAGCACGCTACCTCTTAGAAGTGTGGGTTGAAGGCCTCCATGGAAGCTAGCGGTGTTCAACGCCTTTAATCCCAGCACTAGAGAGGCAGAGGCAGGTGGATCTTCTGAGTTCTTGGCCAGCCTGGTGTACAGATCGAGTTCTAGGATAACCAGGGCTACACAAAGAAACCCTCTCTCAAAAAAGTATGGGTTGAAAGGAACAGCCTGGTCGCATTTTATCCTTAGAATTTAGACACAGAGAGCTTAAGTAACTTTCTCAAACTACACAGCAAATTAGCAGCAGAACCAGTATACATACCTAAGGCCTTCTAGAATCCTTATTTCTTTCTTTTGTCACCTTATAGACCTCAGAGGTTGTCTCTCATTTGATTTTTTGCCCCTTTTAAAAAAAAAAAAAAAAAAAAAAAAAGGCTAGAGTATAGTTTTTGAGTCCTTGAACATGTGAAGTACTAAGCCTAGATCTTACCAGGAGAAAGGGCTGGGGGACAGTCCCTTTATAGTGAAGGCAGAATTATTATTTGGATCAGTTATGTCAAGGCTTGTATGGAAAGCCCCACACTGCCCACACTGACTGACATTCGGAAACTAAATGAATAAATAGAATGTTCTCCCAGACCCTGTCTCTAGGAGTAGGAGAAGCAGCGTCATTGAATGCATGGCTGTGGCTCAAATAATCTCAAGTCAGAATAGCTCCCGGCCTTGGAGTCCCCTACTTCACTTTGCTTTCTGCTTTCATTCACTGAGCAGAATGAATGACCTGGCCCTGCTCACCACAAAATGCAGCTTAGAAGAGGCCCTTAGTGGACAGTGTGTGTGGAGGCAGGAACACCGGGAACTGTGCAGCTGCAGACAGTAGACCTGACAGTAGACCTGGGAAAACCATAAAGCTCCAAAGGGGATGTGGCTGAGCTGCCTATTTACCTGGTAGGCTTCAGTAAGGGGAGGTTGTGTTTTAAGTGACTGGGTCAGATTCACACTCCAGAAAGTTAATCTGGTTACCGGGTATCAGATGGATACTGGGTAGTGGATGGATGGGAGAGGGCAGCCAACTGCAGGCAGGAGCGGTTGGTGAGGCACTGAGTGGTGATAGCCTAGAAAATATGGAGGGAAGGATAAACAAATGACCGTTTGCAGGGCTGTGACCGGTGCTGCTCAGTGTAGAATATGCCCAGCATGCCAAACATCATGCCTTGGTTCATCCTTAGAGAAGGGGAAAAAAAGAAGGAAAGAAAGGTGATTATTCGAGAGGAATTGAAGCTTCTTCATAGACATGTAGGGTGGTAACTGGCTTTGGAATATAAAGAGTTCTTGTTTTAAAAGGGTCTCCCCCTCAGCTCCAACTTACTATGTAGACCAGACTAGCCTGGTAGCCTGGCGCGTGTGTGTGTATGTGTGTGTGTGTGTGTGTGTGTGTGTGTGTGAGAGAGAGAGAGAGAGAGAGAGAGAGAGAGAGAGAGAGAGAGACGAGAGAGAGACGAGAAAGAGATCAGAGGACAATGTATAAGGTCTTAACTCTATAGTAAGGTCTCTTTCTAACATGCTGGTGCCCAGAGATTAAATTTAGGTCTTCACACTTGGTGGCAAGCCCCTTTACCCACTGAGCCATCTCTTTGGCCTCTATAACTGCAAAGACACTGGCCTCCTGGAGGAGATAGGCTACACAACAGTTGTCTATTTCCTTCCTCTGGTCCCTCCCACTCAACTAGGCTGGGGTTTCTGGTTCCTTGCTGAGTTCCTGAGCAGGGTCAGCATTGCTGTGCCCTCTTACCTGCTTTCCCATTTGCTACTCACCAAACGGGTCTAAATGTTACTTCCTGGCTCCTCCACTCGTATGTACTCAGAGGTAGTTTAGAAACGCATTGTCCCAGGGTTGGGGAAGGGCTAATAGTCCTCCCCATCCTCCTGCCAAATAACCACCACGTGTTTTTTCCACAGGAGCATCAGGAGGGCCGGGCTCGGCGAGGCCCTAGAGGACCCAGTGCCTTCATTCCAGCAGAGGAGGTGAGTTTGGAAGAGGGGTAGATCAGTATCTTTTATTTTCCCACTCCTGATTTATTTAATTTCATAAAAAAGCTCTTGAAACCCCCGGGCAGTGGTGATGCACACCTTTTACCCAAGCACTCTGGAAGCAGAGGCAGGCAGTTCTCTGTGAGTTTGAGGTCAGCCTGGTCTACAGAGTGAGTTCCAGGACAGCCAGGGCTACATTGAGAAACCCTGTCTTGGTGTTTGTAGGGCGGGTGGGGGGGATGATAGTGACACGGCCAAACTTGAGATTCCCAACCTAGTACTTATAACTATGTAATAAGACAAGAGACAGCCAGGCGTTGTGGTGCGCACCTGTAATCCCAGCACTTGGGAGGCAGAGGCAGGCGGATCTAAAAGACAAGAGATATATCCATGTCTCCACTGACCCATGATTACTTATAAAATGGTACATATTACCAAACATATGCTTTAAAATTAGCATCTGTTTGTTTATTGTTTTTTTGGTGGCTGGAGCACTGATTTCTCTTGACACAGTGGCTCATGCTTGTAATCCTAGTACTTGGGAAAGCAGAGGCAGGGGGATTGCTATAGGTTTGAAAGAAGCCTGGGCTCCATAGCTGAGGTCCATCAGGGCTAAGGAGAAAGACTTTCAAAAGGGGGGGAAAAGGTGGGGCAGGGAAAGCAAGCTCACTCTGGTCATTTAACAGAACCAAGGTCATGGTTCAATGCTTGTTTTTGTTGTTCTCTTTACAGCAGGAACACTTTTCATCTAGAGAATTGGTTCATCCTTCACTTTGTTGTTACTTTGATTTTGCAAAAAGGTCTTAACTCTATAGCCTGGGTGGCCTCACAGTGAGTGATCTTCCTGCCTCAGCCTCCTTCATGCTGGGATTACAGATGTGGGCCACTGCAGCTGGCCCATTGTTATGCATTTACCTTTCTCTGTGCTAAGAATCTGATCTAGTGCCTCACACCATGTCCCCGCCCTCCCCCCCATGCTGAGCTACATCCCTAACCCCCACTCATTCACTCCTTTACCTGTCCTTAGGAACCTGGGATAGAGAATAAGGCAGACAAAAACCTTTGCTGTCTTGAAGCTTGCCTTCTGGTGTGTGGGTAATATGGTAATGCCTTCAGAATACACATACAGAGGAATTTTTTTTGTAGAGGGATGGAGTTTTCCATTTCCTGTTTTTCTGGTTTTGAGATGGCATTACTCTAGTCCAGGCCTACCTAGAACTCACTGTGTAGATTAGACTGCCCTTGAATTTATGCTGTCTTACATGTAGGCCAAGTGGCTTGTGGCCTGCTAACAAAACATCGAAGTTCTCTTCCCCCTCCTTTGTAATATAAGGTGAACAGCCACCCATTGGCATTTACATCTATAGCCCAGCATTTTATTTTATTTATTTATTTGTTTGTTTGTTTGTTTGTTTGTTTTTGAGACAGGGTTTCTCTGTGTCTTTGGAGGCTGTCCTGGAACTAGCTCTTGTAGACCAGGCTAGTCTCGAACTCACAGAGATCCACCTGCCTCTGCCTCCTGAGTGCTGGGATTAAAGGCGTGCGCCATTAGCCCAGCATTTTAACCTCACATGTTGTTCTTATATTTTATTTTTACACTTATAAAAATTTTTTTGCTGTTGTTTTTGTTTTTTGAGACAGGGTTTCTCTGTAGCATTGAAGGCTGTCCTGGAATTCATTCTGTAGACCAGGCTGGTCTCGAACTCACAGAGATCCACCTGGCTCTGCCTCCCAAGTGCTGAGACTAAAGGCGTGCACCACCAACACCCGACAGAAACCCTTCTTTTACTTTAAAAGAAAAAAAAGGAAAGAAACAGGCCTTGCAGTTCATCTAGATGAGAATCCTGTTCCTGTCACTTATCAGATCTGTGGCTTCAAGCAGATCTGGTTTTTTCATCTATTAATGGGAGAAAATAATAGTATTCACCTCACAGGACAAGTTCAAACACTCAAGAAGATTCATGATTGGATAGCTATCTGTTAGATGAGTGAATCAGTCAGGGCTGGGAATGGAGTTCAGTGGTAGAACACTTGTTTACCATGCACAAGGCCCAAGGTTTGGTACCCAGCTCCACAATAATAAATTTAAAAAAAGGTAAGGAAGAAAGAGAGGAAGAGGGGCTGTGGTGCACCTCGGTGCAAATGCTAGAGTACATGCCTGACATCTACAAAGCCCGGGGTTAGATCCTTAGCTCCACACAAACTGGTCATGGTGATGAAAAAAGTCCCATGAGGTTAAACAGCTCTACATGAGAAACTCTGGGCCTGTGAACTGTTCTGCACTTCCCCCTACCCTCCACAGCTTTCTGCATTTGCCATGTGAGAGAGAAATCCTATGAAGAGAGGAGAAACTTGACATTCTTTTTTTTTATTGCCGGGGATGGCAATAAAACCATGGGCCTCATTCGTGCTAAGTGTTCATTTCACCACTGAGACACACTCCCCAGTCTCCAACAACCATTCCTAATTTCTCTGCCTAAATCTTCATCTGTAAAATGGGAGAAGGGGGGTGGGGAGACACACATCTTTAATCCCAGCACTCCCTAGGCAGAGACAGGCAGATCTCTAAGTTCCAGGACAGCCAGAGAGAATCCCTGTCTCAAAACACTTTAAGGAGGGGGCGGGAGCTGAGGACATGGTTTAGTGGTAGGATATTCACCTAACATTCGTGAAGGCATAGGTTTGATCCTCAGCATTGAAAAGAACATTCATTATAAAATTAAAAATAGAGAAAAATTGAACTCTTAATTTCCTAGCTGTTTTGAGGATTGAGTGAGTTAATACATATATGAAGTACTTGGACAGTGACAGACATGTATAATTTACATAAAGTACCTAATAAGTGTTGGTTTAATCAGTTTCCTCTTTTGGACGTGGATGGCAAGTGTTCAGTCTCCTACTATTATAGCTATATAATGCAACTCTATATATTTAAAACAAAAGAGAGGCTGGTCTGTGTGGGGGGCAGAAGGGAACCCATGCTCTCCTCTTTGCCTAGCAGATCCTTCCCGAAGGAGCTGAGAGCCTGGAGCAGCACCTGGGACTCGAGGCTCTGATGTCCTCCGGGCGGGTGGATAATCTGGCGGTAGTGATGGGCCTCCACCCCGACTACCTTAGCAGCTTTTGGCGTCTCCACTATCTGCTGCTGCATACAGACGGGCCCCTGGCCAGCTCTTGGCGTCACTACATTGCCATCATGGTAAGTTTATCCAGGCCTGGGCCTCGCAGGGGTGGCCAAATGGTAGTTCTAGCTTCAGATTCATTTGCTGGGACTCTCCTGAGTTGATTTTTTTTTTTTTTAGGTGAAGAGGAAGTGTTCAGTTTTACCCGATAATGTCCACGGGATTTTAGGTTTTAAAGAGCGGCTCTTTAAGTGTTCTTTACAGATGGGACAACTGAGGTGCAAAGGGGTCAGATGACCAGCAAGCTGGTGGCAGAGCTGAAGTTAGAATATAGATTTTTTTTTTTCTCCCTCTTAGATCTCAGGGGGATCTTTCCAGAATGGGGCACGGAAGGCGGGTAACTCAGGCTTATCACCTCCCTCCATAGGCAGCTGCCCGCCACCAGTGTTCTTACCTGGTGGGCTCCCACATGACCGAGTTCCTGCAGACTGGTGGTGACCCGGAGTGGCTGCTGGGCCTCCACCGGGCACCTGAAAAGCTTCGCAAACTCAGTGAGATCAACAAGTTGCTGGCACATCGGCCGTGGCTCATCACCAAGGAGCATATCCAGGTATGATAGGCGGAAGGTTGGCTCCTTGAGGAAGCCTGGGGGCTGGGCTGGAGTCGCTCAGGGGCAGCCACTAAGTGGGTTAGCGCTCTCTCCCTTCCAGGCCTTACTGAAGACTGGAGAGCACAGCTGGTCCCTGGCTGAACTCATCCAAGCTCTGGTCCTGCTCACACACTGCCACTCCCTGGCCTCCTTCGTGTTTGGCTGTGGAATACTTCCTGAAGGAGACGCAGAGGGAAGTCCTGCCTCACAGGCACCCTCGCCCCCCAGTGAGCACGGAAGTCCCCCAAGTGGAGACCCATTGAACAACTCTGGGGTAAGTCGTGATCCTGGATCTTGCTTTCGTGTGGGAGAAAGCTGGTGCGGCCTCTGCCCTGGGAATAGAAACCATGGCTTTCCAGTCTCTTCACAGTGAGAGGCTACAGCAAAATTGCTTGGCTTTAAACTCTGGTTTGTTTGTTTTGTTGTTGGGTTTTTTGTTTTGTTTTTCGAGACAGGGTTTCTCTATGGCTTTGGAGGCTGTCCTGGAACTAGCTCTTGTAGACCAGGCTGGTCTTGAACTCACAGAGATCCCCCTGCCTCTGCCTCCTGAGTGCTGGGATTGAAGGTGTAGGACACCACCTCTTGGCACCAGCTGATTTTTGTTGTTGTTTGTGGATGTTTTTGGTTTTATTGTTATTTTTGAGGCAGGGTCTTACTCTGTAGCCCAGGCTAGCCTCAAACTCATCGTGATCTCCTATATCCCCATCTTCTCAATGTGCTAGGATTAGAGAAGTGAGCCACCATGTCTGACATTTTTTGTCCCGTTGACTATACAAAATGTAGGCGTTGGTATAGCTCAGTGGTGACTGCCTAGTCTGTGTGAGTTCAATCAGCAACAGGACCAAAAACCAAACAACAGGGGGTGGAGAGATGGCTCAGTGGTTAACAGCACTGGCTGCTGGGCTGTGGTGTTGCACGCCTTTAATCCCAGCACTCGAGAGGCAGAGGCAGGTGGATCTCTGTGAGTTCCAGGCCAGCCTGGTCTACAGAGTGAGGTCCAAGACAGTCAGGGCTGTTTCACAGAGAAACCCTGTCTCAAAAAACAAAAACCACCAATCAACAGAAACTCCCATAATCCCAGAACTGAGGAGGCAGAGGCAGACGATCTCTGAGTTGAAGGCCAGCCTGATCTACATCCTCAGTTCCAGCACAGGTAGGGCTACACAGTGAATAACACCCTGTCTCAAAAAACAAACAAAACCAACCCCTGTGGAAGACTCACAGAGTATGTGCTGCCCTGTGTGTGGTAGCTGGCTCAGAAACACCCTAGTTCTTTCTGATCACTCAGGAAGGCCTAGAATGTATCAAATCTGAGTGGAGCTTTCCAGAGGACCGTGAAGGGAGGAGGACAAGATGGTAATTCCTGGGTTCTTCCTACAGGGCTTCGAAGCCGCCCGTGATGTAGAAGCCTTGATGGAACGCATGAGGCAGCTGCAGGAGAGCCTGCTGCGAGATGAGGGAGCTTCCCAGGAGGAAATGGAGAACCGTTTTGAGCTGGAGAAATCAGAAAGTCTGCTGGTAACCCCCTCAGGTACAGGATCACAGATGTCTGTGCTAGGGACTGCCTCTCTCCCTACCCTTCTGATGGGAGCAGACACCTCCATGCACCATGCCTTCCTTCCAAGAGGCTCTGCATGGCCTTGTGTTCAGATCTGCCTTTGAGTCCTGGTCTGTTAGCCCTTCAGGGTTAGTGTTGGGTAGATGGAGCCAAGCTTAGAGCCTTTCCCAGGTTGAGCCATGCTATAGAACTACCACTATTACTGTTACAGGGCGCCTTGCCTTCCTGGTTCTTGGGCAGGAGTCTCCTCCTCCCCAGGAGTGGCTCTAACTAAAGTCTTCCCCACTTGGTGTGGGGAGAGGCTCTCTGTGGTCCCCTACTGTTGCTCCCCTTACCTCTCTGATGACGTGGAGCTCTAGGCTCAGCTTCTCTGACTCCTCTTTCTGCTATGGCCCTCAGCGGATATCCTGGAGACCTCTCCACACCCAGACATTCTATGCTTTGTGGAAGACCCCACATTTGGGTATGAAGACTTCACTCGTCGAGGGACTCAGGCCCCGCCTACCTTCCGAGCCCAGGTGAGGCTCCCTGCACTAGTGGTGTTCATTTCCTTAGATTTGCATATAAGCAGAGGCAAGTGCTTGCAATGGTTCTAAAGTTGGATACCTTCTCCCCACAAAAACCCATGAGTGTGCCAGGCAGTGATGGCGCACTCCTCTAATCGCAGGACTGGGAGGCAGACGCAGGTGGATCTCTGTGAGTTCGAGACCACCCTGGTCTACGAGCTAGTTTCAGGACAGCCAGGGCTATACAGAGAAACCCTGTCTCAAAAACAAAACAAAACAAAACAAAAACCCATAAGGGCAGTGAAGACCTAAGAGATCCCAATCCAGGGGAAAAGTCATCATCCTGGTTCACCTGCTTGGTCTCTCAGGTCCGTCCATAGCGTATCAGATTGTGGTGTAGGGAGGGTATGTTATGCAAAGCAAGGTGTGAATTCTAGCGTTCCAGAGGACAGATCTCTGGTCAGCCTTGGGTTTCCCAAGTCTTGCTCCCTGACCTCTTCCCTTATTCCTCAGGATTATACCTGGGAAGACCATGGCTACTCACTGATCCAGCGGCTCTACCCTGAGGGAGGACAGCTGCTGGATGAGAAGTTTCAGGTAGCCTACAGCCTCACCTATAACACCATCGCCATGCACAGTGGTGTGGACACCTCCATGCTCCGAAGGGCCATCTGGAACTACATCCACTGTGTCTTTGGCATCAGGTGAGCAAGTGCTCTCCAGGTTCAGGTCATGTGTATGCCATCAATCTTTCTTGAGCATACTGTCACTTTTAGTTTTTCTTTTCTTCTTGCCTATAGTAATCTTTCAAGGCAATTTATGTCTTTGCAGGTTTAAAGCTAATAAGCCTCTTTAAGCACTCTCCCAGAGATAACTGGGCTTTGCTTTGTTTGGCTTGTAATACAAAGAATTGAACCTAAGACCTTGTGCATGCTAGGCACTTTATGTTGTTTTATGTCATTTTACTTATTTATTTTTGATGTTTGGAAGCAGGGTATAACACAGACTAGCCTAGAACTTGTATGCTTCAGGTCAGGCTTGAGCTCTTGACACTCCTGCTGCCTTAGCTTCTAGGTGCTGGGGCTTAAAGGCCTGCTCGACCAAAGCACTTTAGCTATGGGTTCATGTGTGTTTGTATTGTGCACTCTACACAAATACAAACATCAAATGTACACACTACATAGACACATATTTTTTTGGTTTTTCAAGACAGGGCTTCTCTGTGTAACAGTCCTAGCTGTCCTAGAACTTACTCTGTAGACCAGGCTGGCCTCAAACTCACAGAGATCCACCTACCTCTGCCTCCCGAGTGCTGGGATTAAAGGCGTGCTCCACCACCATCCTGCTATAGACTCGTGTTTAAATTTCCAAATAGCACATCTTTTCCTGTAGTCAGTAAGGACAACACAGATACCCATCAGCAACAGACTTGAAATAATGATGTTTCCATTGTAACCTGTTATGCAGCTCATGAAAATTATGACCAGGAGTCAGGCATGTGGGAGGTTACCCACCAAAATATTAAGTCTGGTCATCTCTGTACAATATAGTACAGTGATTTATATAGTTTTATCTTGTTAAATCTTTTCTAGTTAAAAAAGTTTTATTTATTTTTATGTATGTGTATACATTCTCATGTGGGACACAACTTGCTGGAGTCGTTTCTCTCCTTCCACTGTATGGGGCAGAGGGACCAAACCGGGATCACTACTCTAGATGGCAAGCTCCTTTACTCACTGAGCCATATTGTCTGTCCACTGACTGGTGGTTTTGTTGTTGTTGTTGTCTATTTGTTATTTGTTTGTTTGTTTGTTTGTTTAGGAAAATTTTTTATTAAGTGATGTTATATGAGTATTTAGGTTGTTTGCAGGGTTGTTTCTTGTTTTTCTTTTCTATTGTTAGGGTTTTTTTTTCCTAAGTTCCTCCTCTCCCCACCCCCAAGAAGGAGTCTCTGTTGGCTCAAATTTGGGACCCCCTGTTTCTTTGGCCTCCCAGGTGTTGAGATTACAGCCATGTGCTTACCACCCCCGATGGCAGATTTTACTCTTATAAACATTATTCGCACTGACTAGTCTCATACACGAGTTCTCATTGATGAATCCTCGAAATAAAATGGTTTATCTAAGATATATAAAAAACTCTATTTATTCATTTATTTTTAAGGTAGGGTTTCACAACAGTCCAGATTGACCATGAACTCACAGCAGCCTATCTATTTCAGTCTTTCGTGTGCTGGGATAGGCTTTTGCCTTTGAGGGATGGGGGGGTGTTCCTGAGACCAGGTTTTTCTGTGGCTTTCGAGGCTGTCCTGGAACTAGCTCTTGTAGACCAGGCTGGTCTCAAACTCACAGAGATCCGCCTGCCTCTGCCTCCCGAGTGCTGGGACTAAAGGTGTGCGCCACCACCGCCTGCCCCGGCTTTCCTTTCTTTGTTGACTTGTTTTTTACTAATACCTGTAATTCCAGTACTGGGAAGGCAAAAACAGGAGGATCAGTTAGGTGTTCAAGGTCATCCTTCACTATATAACAAGTTCACCAGCTAGACTACAGGACTCTAAAAAATTAAAAAAACAAAAAACAAACAAACAAACAAACCACCAAAACTGCTGGGCAGTGGTGATGCACGCCCCGATTCTAGCACTTGGGAGGCAGAAGCAGGCAGATCTCTGGGAGTTCCAAGGCCCGCCTGGTCTACACAGTCAAAACCTTGTCGCAACAAAAAAAACAAAAACAAAAAAAACAAGAAGACCAAAAAACCCACCAAAATTGTGCAGGAGGTCACCTTATTTTATTGTATTCAGGTGTTTCCTTCCTGGTTTTCCCTATGCACATGCATAACTACACTGAGGAGAGACAAGCGGCTTCTAAACTCATTGCCAACTTGCTGTTGGATTTTGAAGCAGTTAATTGCCTTCTCTAGCTAGACCTTAGCTTGCCTGTCTGGTTTTAGCTGTGTCTCCTTTTTCCCACCACTGCTTCGTTCTCCAGGATCACCACTGACCTTCCTGTCACAGTGAGTGTAGGAGAGCTGGATTTGAAGTCATTCCCTGCTGTGGAGGGAATGCCTTCTTTGAATCTCAGTAAAATGAAATTGATGAACACAGTATATTGAATATGACAGAGTATGTAATTTGTAGGATTGTCACCGGCTCAGTCAGAATTCAATAGTGCGTGCTCATTGTTAGTGTTACTTAGAGTAGTCCTCTGTGAGCCTGGTAACCTATGACGCATGATGTCAGCTGTTTTCCGAGAGGAACCAGGCTTCTGATTGCTTCTTACCTTCTGGCTTTTCTGGCCACTCTCTGTTCCTCCTTCTGTAGGGTGGGGTGAGTGGGCCACTCTGCTTGTGAGATCAGGGCTTGAGTAACGCTGCCCGGGTCTTTTCCATCAGATACGATGACTACGACTATGGGGAGGTAAACCAACTCCTGGAAAGGAACCTCAAAATTTACATCAAGACCGTGGCCTGCTACCCAGAGAAGACAACCCGCAGGATGTACCACCTCTTCTGGAGGCACTTCCGCCACTCAGAGAAGGTAACAGCCATGTGGATGTGAAAAACAGCCAAGCCAGGCCTGTAGAAGAGCTAGAGAGTAGGACCCAGTGAGGATCACAGTGGGAACCTGGGCCTGTTGTCCTTGGTTAAATCCTATTCCACTGTGTGATTTCAGACTTCATTCAAATAAGGCACCTGGGGGCCTGTTCCCACAGACTTTGAGTGGCAGTTTGGCAGGCATAGGTTCAAATCAGTTTCTCTCACATAGGAGCACTGTGCCTTTGGACATGTGACTTTGCGTCTTTGAGCTTTTCCCCTTTATAATGAGAAGAGACACTGCCTGGGCTTCAAAGCTGGGAAGGCACAATGAGACTATATATGGAAGCATTTGATCCTTCACTGCAGCCAGCTAATGGTAGCTCTTTCAGACTTGGGAGATAAGGTACTTAGTCACGACAGGGGGCTTCCTCAGCAGTCACTGCACCAGATTGCACAGAGCCTTCTTAGCACAGGTCGGGGCATCTCGGTGGGAGGCGTGGGTGAGGTGAGTGCCCAGGGAACTGGTAGACTGGGAGGGAGGGCTGCAGAGCAGTTGTGAGCAAGCCTCTTTCTGTGCCCCAGGTTCACGTGAACTTGTTGCTCCTGGAGGCCCGGATGCAAGCAGCCCTGCTCTATGCCCTCCGTGCCATCACCCGCTACATGACCTGACTCCCTCCCACGCAGGACCAGCACCCGGAGCAGCCAACCCTGGGGCAGTGTCCTCTGTACAGGATTTCTGTGTCTGGAGACAGATCCAGGACGATCTCTGTCTCATGTCCATCCACCAGATGCTAAGGATGGGCATGTGTGCGGTGTGCAGCTCCCTGGGCAAGCCACACCTTCCTTTCTCTTGCTGGACTGCACAGGATTGTTGCACTGACTTTGGGGTCTCAGCTCTGCCCCTGGAGCTGGAAGACTAGGAAAGCCCAAGAGGCCATACCCCCTTGTCTTTCTGGCTCCTAAAAACAGATGAAGGCGAAAGGGTTGAGCTCAGATTTACATGCCAGCAGGTTGGGACCCAGGCAACACAAGTACTAGGACTGTCCTGGATTGGGAAGCCCCTGACTGCCCCTGTGGGAGAGGACCAAAGACCTCCAGGGACTGACACTCCAGGAAGCTCACCTTCCCTCCATCCTCATTCTCCAATTCATTACCTCCCATCCATCTGCCTTCCACCCATCAATGTGAAAGTCGGACTCACAGCTGGTCTGTGCACCCAGTTTCCCCAAAGCCTGTTCTGCTGGGCAGCCTGGTTTTTGGTTGCCTGAATATTGGTTCAGTTTTTTTTTCTTTTCCTTTCTTTCTTTTTTTTTTTTTTTTTTTTTTTTTTTTTTTTGTCTCCTTTGCCCTCATACCCTTTTCTCCCATGCCTGTTGGGGTATGGCCTGGGAGAGGGGCCAAACACATCCAAAGAACATACTGTCTCTGGAGAGTTGGTTCCCATGTTGGTCCCTCTGCTGTCTGAAGAGTAATGAGTAAATGCCGATGAACTCTGTATTTGGGTCTTGTGGGCAAGGTCTGGCCTCTTAAGGACCTCACTGGAGCCAGAGTCAAGTCCTAGGAGGGAGGAGGTCCTGCTCTCGACTGTATTGCCATGCAGAGGCCGGTAGTCCATTCTTCTGATCCCTCGGGCTCTGCCAAGAATGCTTGCCAAAACACTGAGCCTTTCTCAGGTGGCACCAGGCCCACCCAGTAAGAGGCAGATACCAAGGTTCTCTTTCTCTTGGCTAAAATGCCGCATGTCTTGAATCTCACGGTTGCAGACCGAGGGGTTGGCCTCAGTTTCTCAAGGTTTGATGCTTTATGCTATCAGGCCAAACCATCAACAGCAGGCTGATTTTCTTGCAAGACCTTGAAGGCCTCTGGGATCCTTAGTCTACAGTCAGCCTTCCAAGGGAACCACCCCCACCCCAGTGTCCCATCTGTCTCCTCTCCTGGATTTAAATGGATTGCTTGGCAGAAGCAGCCAAGGACTGACTGGCACTTTACATAGCAAAACAACTGTGAATTCTGACTTCCCTTCCCCTTCCACCAGCAGTAAGTAGGTGCCTCCTCTGGGCCAGTCCAGAGGTGTCTGAGAAAGTCAAGAACACACTGCTGCTGTTCCCAACTCTCCTCCATTGGGCCAGGCAGAACAGGAGCCTGGCCAGTGTGCCACATTTCATACCCGTGCAGGCGCGGGACACAACTAGCACCCCCTCCAGGCTTGAAAGCCCTCCCTCAATGAAGGTGGGCAAGAGGGGAGGGGATCTCAGCATGGGGATATGTTCTAGAGGGACATGATGACGCTCGGTGTCCCCTGGGTGGGCGGGAAGGGTATTCAGTGTTAAAGTGCAGAAGTCTTTGGCCTTCCTTGTAAGCAGTTCTAGGTAATAGAAATAAAAGTTCGCTGAGGTTTGTTTTGTAGTTCTTGTTAATGGGATGTTTGTCCATTTCCTGAAGGTCAGAGTTCACATCCTAGCATAAGCCAAAAGCTGTGATTGCGTCATGGACTTGACCTCATGGCCTCTGCCCAGCCTGTGCCCGTGCCCAGTAATCGCAAGACTGGGGATTGCTGGCATTGGAAGTCAACTGGGACATGGCTGAGGCTCAGTGGCAGAGTTTGCCTTGTGTGTGAGGTCCTGGGCTTGATTCCTGGCACCACAAAACAAAGTCTGCCATTGCTTGGGTGGCCAATCCTGCCACCCATTTGGCATGTCTAGCACTGTGGACTAATAAATGGCAATGTTGTTTTCTGACTAAGGTGGCCCCGAGCTGGGTAGTAGAAGGCCACTTGTCTGAAGCTGCAGCCAGCTTGGAAGACATTTGCAATTGAGGCAACATAATATTGCTGAGGCCATGGAGCCAGTATCCCAGTGGGACTCTCCTGACCGAGGCCTTGGCACCCTACCTTCCTGTTTCCCCCCATTATTGGACATCAGTGTGACAGGGAGGATATTTGACCACCTGAGGATTTTCCCATCACATTGTGCTTCTTGTCTAGAACTGGAGGCAGGACCATCAAAGAGTTAAATATAGGGACAAGAAAAGGACCAGAGAAGGCACTGCTCTTGTGTAGAGGACCCGAGTTCAATCCTCAGCACCCACACACTGCCTATCACTCCAGCTCCAGGGATCTAACAGGCACCTGTGCACAAAAATAGAATCACACATCTTTTAAGAAAGTTAAATGCAGCCAGGCAGTGGGGGTGCATGCCTTTAATCCCAGCCCTGGGGAGGCAGAGGCAGGAAGATCTCTGAGTTCTTGGCCAGCCTGCTCTACAAAGCTACACAAAGAAACCCTGTCTGGAAAGAAAAAGAAAAAAGAAAGAAAGCACACACTTTTGATCCCAGCACTTGGGAGGCAGAGGCAGGCAGATCTCTGTGAGTTCGAGGCCAGCCTGGTCTACAAGAGCTAGTTCCAGGACAACCTCCAAAGCAATACAGAGAAACCCTGTCTTGAGAAAAAAAATTTTTTTTTTAATGTTAAAAAATTAAAGGCTGGTTACTGGTGATGCACACCTTTAATCTCAGCACTCGGGAGGCAGAGGCAGGTGGAAAACTGTGAGTCTACAAAGCAAGTTCCAGAACAACCAGGACTGTTACACAGGGAAACCCTGTCTAGAAAAACCAAAGGAAAGAAAGGAAGAAAGAAAGAAAGAAACCCTGTCTACAAAAACAAAACAAAAAGTTAAAAAAAAAAAAAAAGAGTGATGTCTCCAGGGGTGTGGGGGTGGAGAGGTGTCTTGGTCCTGCCTCAACAAGATGATGGGACAGCCTTAGTAGACTTCCTAGCTACCTTACCTTCTCCATGGAGCAGATGGGAAGAGGGGAGGAGGGAGGAGGAACTGGGATTGGAATGTAAAAAAAATAATAATAATAATGAGATGTCTCAAAATATCCTGACACATGTATGTATACCAGGCACGCGTGCGCACACACACAATTTTCAAAAACATAGAAGAGTTAGATTCATTCCCTAAGTTGTGCCTGTTTACTTAAAAGTGTTGACCTTCATCAAGATACTTGGTACCAGGATGTAGACAGATTTTATTTTGGACTGCCAATTCATAAAAAAATGACATGGAGACTTACTAATCATGAAAGCTCAGCCTTAGCTTAGGCTTGTTTCTAATTAGCTCTTAAAACTTAAATTAGCCCATTTCTCTTACTCTGCGGGCTGCCACGTGGCTGGTGATTTTTTTACCTCTCTCATATGTCCAGCTTCATCTCTTCTCCCTCTCTCTGCCGGGAAGTCCTGCCTAACCTCTTCCTGCCTGGCTATTGGCCATTCAGGTCTTTATTAAGCCAATCAGAAGGCGCCTTGGCGAAGACACATCTGCACAGTGTACAAAAAGATTATCCCTCAACACCAGGAACTAGTAAACACACTGGGAAAACCACATAATGACTTAGCTAAGACTTTTGCTGGCTTTCCACTTACCCTGAACACTGCCATCAACTGAAGTGTCTCCTATCAGAACCCTTCCCATGGAAGCTTTGTAAACCCTTCATCCCTGAGGTAACTGTGCAGGCTAGCCTCAGACTTTCCATATTCCTCCTGCCTCTGCCACTTTGGTGTATGTGGTCTTTACCCCAGAGTTCTTTTTATTGTATTACTTTTGTTCCCAGACTGACTGTGGGTTTTTTTGTTTGTTTGTTTGTTTTGTTTGTTCTTATTTCCCCACACAGGGTTTCTTTGTATGGCCCTGGCTGTCCTGGAACCGGTGGGCCTCAAACTCACAGAGGTCCACCTGCCTCTGCCTCTGCCTCCCCAGTGCAGGGATTAAAGGTGTGAACCCCCCCAGCTGATTTTTTAAAAGTTATTTGTTGTGTGTGGAGGTCAGAGGATAATTTGGAAGAGTCTATGCTTTCCTTCCACCATTTGGAACCTGGAGATCAAACAGAGGACAGATTTGGCGACAGGCATCTTAAACAAAGACATTTCACCAGCTCTCAATCTAACTATTTTCCTTTATTTTTGTGCGAAGGGTCTCACTATGCAGCCCTGGCCATCCTGGGACTCTCCATGTAGACCAGGCTGGCCTCAAGCTCACAGAGGTTTACATGTCTCTGCCTCCTGAGTGCTAGGATTAAAGGCATGCACCACCATACTGGGCCTTCAATTTTTTTTTTTTTTTTTTTTTCTGAGACAGTTTCTCTGTATAACAGTCCTGGCTTTCCTGGAACTCTCAGGATCTGAACACACCTACAGTGCTTGGAGTTTGTGAAAAGCATCTATGATTAGAATTCTTTTTTCTTTTCCTTCTTTCTTTTTATTTATTATTTATTTTAATGTGGGAAATTTTATTGGGGGAAGGGAAGGGAGTGGGGGAAAGGAAGGAAGAGAAGGGAAAGAAAAAGAAACACACAGAGAGAAACACACACACACACACACAGAGAGAGAGAGAGAGAGAGAGAGAGAGAGAGAGACAGAGAGACAGAGAGACAGAGAGACAGAGATTAGCCCATAGAGGCCTTGAACTGGCGTAGTAGCTAACCATGACCTTGAACGCCTGACTTCTGGCTGCTCTTCTCCCAAACATGGCAAGCACTTGCACTAGATCCACTGGTACCAAGGCCAGGGATTAGTTATTTGTTTGACGTCGGCAGGGTTTGTATACACTGCTGTATTTCACCCTTTGGCTCACCCTGAGTAGAAAAATGAAAGGAGGGAATCTCCTGCAGCCTTCAAATAGTCACCAGAGCCCTGGGGCAGGTAGGTAGCAGAAAGGCTGGACAAATTCACACCTTAGGATCCTCCAACGTTGGAGGCAGAGCTGGATAGGTTACTTCTGTAACTGTTGCTCTGGTGTTGGCTCACTCAACACAGGCTGATCATCTAAGATGCAAGGAGCCCTGTAGGTACAGGAGTGACCCCAGCGACGACGTTCCCAATCCTTTGGGATTTACTGTCAAGTGGAGGAGGCTAGCATAGGATTGTTACTCAACTAATGATTTCCATTTCGATTGTGATTGGCATCTCAAAGGAGAAATGTGAAGTCCTCCAAAGCAATTTCCAACTCAGGAGCAGAACGTTCTCTTCCAAGGAAATAGACTGGATTGTTACAGCAGCTGCAGCACACTGGAAAACACTTTCCTGCCCTCTGGGGTCACTTCTTGGAAGCCAAGGTCTCCACAGAACAGAATATAGAACTTCTCTCTATTCCCCTTGCATTCCACACAGATTGTGGTACCTTTGTCACTCCCACTACCTTAAGAGTGTTGGTTCCCCGGGGCGTTGGTGGCACACACCTTTATTTCCAGCACTCGGGAGGCAGAGGCAAGAGGATCTCTGTGAGTTTGAGACCAGCCTAGTCTTCAAGAGGTAGTTTCAGGACAGCCTCCAAAGCCATAGAGAAGCCCTGTCTCGAACCACCACTCTCCACCCCTCCCCAAAAAAGAGTGTTGGTTGCCGCCAGGTAGTAATGAAGCGTGCCATAATCCCAACACTTAGGAGGCAGAGGCAGGTGGATCTCTGAGTTTGAGGCCAGCCTGGTCTACAGAGCTGGTTCAGGACAGCCAGGGCTACAAAAAGAAACCCTATCTCAAAAACCAAAAGCAGACAGACAAACAAAGAATACAGTGAGCTCTGGGTTCTGTACCCAGTATTACATAAAACAGGCCATGACATCCACGAGAGAAAGATAAATTTCATATAAATTTATGAGTCCTGGAAAAAAATCAAAGTCCAAGGAATTTTGAGCAAGTCCAGCCTACCCTGGACTTGTAAGATAAGGATGGACTTAGGACGAGACGGGAGTGGAGCAAAGGAGCTGGTATACAGAGAATTTATTTTGAGACAGGGTCTCACAAAATCTGCCTATCTCTGCCTTCCATCTCTCCCTTCTATCTCTGGGACTAAGAGCATGTGTCACCACACCAAGCCTGAGATATCTGGAGGAGGAAATCAGCCTCGAAGGGACAGAAAAATGAGGAAAGCTGAGGCTGAAAAAGTCCTGGGTGAATCTGGTAGAATTTTTGGACTTTGGCCTAGGGCTATAGCTTAGAGGTATAGTGCCTTGGACACCATGTACTATGCCTGGGGTTTTATACCCAAGTTGGTAAAAAAAAAATTTTTTTTTAAGTCTTTGTCCTATGGTGTTGGGAAATCTTCTGAGGAGATTTTGTAGTTTATTGCAAAGTTGATAATATTTATTAGCAGAGGGAGTGGAGTACAAGACTTAGAATGTAGTATAATATACCCTACTTCACAGGCATGGTTGGCCTCATGACTTAAAAGCTCTGTGTACTACTTTTTTTTTTTTTTTGAAAAAGGGTTTCTCTGTGTAACAGCCTTGGCTGTTCTAGAACTCACTTTGTAGACCAGGCTGACCTGGAACTCACAGAGATCCACCTGCCTCTGCCTCCCAAACACTGGGATTAAAGATGTGCACCACCACACCCAGCTTCCCCCACCCCCCAGG